GTCTTTCTTTATACCTACTTCAGTCTTTCTTTATACCTACTTCAGTCTTTCTTTATATCTACTCCAGTCTTTCTTTATACCTACTTCAGTCTTTCTTTATACCTACTCCAGTCTTTCTTTATACCTACTCCAGTCTTTCTTTATATCTACTCCAGTCTTTCTTTATACCTACTCCAGTCTTTCTTTATACCTACTTCAGTCTTTCTTTATACCTACTCCAGTCTTTCTTTATTCCTACTCCAGTCTTTCTTTATACCTACTCCAGTCTTTCTTTATACCTACTCCAGTCTTTCTTTATTCCTACTTCAGTCTTTCTTTATACCTACTTCAGTCTTTCTTTATACCTACTCCAGTCTTTCTTTATTCCTACTCCAGTCTTTCTTTATTCCTACTTCAGTCTTTCTTTATTCCTACTTCAGTCTTTCTTTATTCCTACTCCAGTCTTTCTTTATTCCTACTCCAGTCTTTCTTTATACCTACTCCAGTCTTTCTTTATTCCTACTCCAGTCTTTCTTTATTCCTACTTCAGTCTTTCTTTATTCCTACTTCAGTCTTTCTTTATACCTACTTCAGTCTTTCTTTATACCTACTCCAGTCTTTCTTTATTCCTACTTCAGTCTTTCTTTATACCTACTCCAGTCTTTTTTTATTCCTACTCCAGTCTTTCTTTATTCCTACTCCAGAGTTCAGAGAAGAAAAGAATTATTTCAACCTGTACCAGTATTGAACCCTGAACTTACAGGTTAGCGAGCAAGCGTCAAACTCACTGAGCCACTGTGGCTCCTCAAACAAGTAGATAATATATTTCTATATTAAATAAAGGAATACAATTTATGATATACGACTCCAGTTTTATTGTACACAATGTTTCTACAATTTACACTGTCTTATTTAATGTGACCTACTAGACAGTTGATTGAGGATTATATTAATGTATTATTTGTTATAGATTTGGCAACACTGTGATTGTGTAGGGGCTACAGGTAATGAGGAGTATTATGTTTGTGAAAAATGTGACGGACGGACGTATGATAAGGTATGTTACAACATCTACATTCATTTGTTATTTTTATATTAATCTATCTTTTCTGATACAAACTAACAAAATTAATTTATGTGAACAATACACCTGTACCTGTCAATCATTAAGTAGGCGTGTCTTATTTCAGGGTTTTTATTGGTTGATAATGAAATCAGGTAATGATAGCATTATTGGTGTGATCAC